CCGCACCCGGTGCTGCACCACTTCCACTTCGACTCCTGCCGCTGCTCGAGTGCGTCGAGCTTCCGGGTATCGAGAGCGACAGCGAGCGGGACGTATGAGCACCATCTGCTCCATTCGCCGACAAAGAAGACACGGGCAGGTCCAACCCCTTCCCTTTCCCCTTCATCATCCCACTCGCACTAGAAGCCGAAGAACTCGTCTCATGAGAAGCTGTCGAGCTCCCGCCATCTCCAAATCCACCGATACTCCCCCCTGCACCATTCCCATGTTCCTTTTGATGCTCTCCTCCCGCTCCTCCATCCACTCCACCAGTATGCAAAGACCCAACTTTGCCCCAAATAACAAACCTCGGATCATCCTTAGGCGCAGCACTATCGTCTTGCGCCAAAGTCAACTTCACAGGTACCGTCTCCGGCAAGTGTGTCCTTGTCTTCGTCTTCACCTGCCTCTTTGATTTCGATTTCGACCCATTCCGCTTCGAAGAGGAGGCAGGCAAGGAATTCGAGGAGACCAAAGGAGATTTCGATGACGACGAAGACGAAGACGAAGTAGCCGGCGAAAAATCCGTATCGACGATAAACTCATCAATCGATTCGCCATCCTCGCCCTCCCCTTCTTCCTCCGCAATACTATCACCATCCCCATCTCCATTCCCATCCTCATCCTCATCCAACAAATCAAGCAACGGCAACCCCCTCGAAGTCTGCAACACATCGAAGATATCCGTCGAATACGCTGTGAATTTCGCAAGACGGGGAGGGAGACTGGGGGGCAAGTACATCTGCACTCGAGGAACGGGTTGCGACGGTCGGGGCGTCTGAGGCGTTTGCATCGCAGGGTCCTGATCCTGATCCTGATCCCCGTCCCCGTCCCCGTCCCCAGATCCTTCAGGTCCGGCAGTCCCTGCGACAGCAGTAGAAGTGGGAGTAAAAAGACTAGCCGAACTGGCCGACGTAGAACCAGTAACAGGAGGAGTCGCTTCGGTCAGAGAAGACAATCGTGGTCCACGACCATGATCATGATTATCCCGTTGCATAATCGAATCGATATCTGAAGTATCAGGGTGTTTATGCAGTGGATGTTCAGCAGATTCCATGCTCAGTCTCGACTTGACAGGCGACGAGGCCGGCGTTGACGATACAGAACCCGAAGCCGAGGGTCGTTCGGGGGATGAAGGGGACACTGAAGTCGAGGCCTCAGCCTTGGCGTCCTCAGCCGGCACCGCAGTATTAACCGTCACCGAACTCCGCACCCCTCCAGTCCCAGCCCCCATCCCCGTCCCATCCCTCTCCGACAACCGAATTGCACTCCTCTGCCTCTCCACAACCCTAACAATCTCCCCAAAATCAACCTCCGCAAGACTCAAATCAACCTGCAAAGGCTGCATCGACGACATTCCAAACGTCGGCGATGAAGCAGAAGCAGAAGTCGAACGAGAACGAGAAGCATCCATTGAAAACGAAGTAGCTATCGGCGTCCTCCCCGCCCTCCCACCACCACCATGCCCAGCAGTCACCGTCAAGCCACTCTCAAAACTCTGCATTTCCCTCAAATTCCCAGCCCCAGTCCCACTCTCACTCCCATTCCTCTCCCTCATCCTAAACCGCTTCGAAGGAGACACTTTAAGGAACTTGCCGAAATCTGTATCAGATTCTGACGAAGTAGATGTAGACGTCGAAGAAGACCCATTCGAGTTGACAGATTGAGAAGACTTTGGTCTAGTTCCGGACGAACTCGCATGCGAAACGCCCGGAATATCGAAATACACCCCCGGCCCGAACGGTCTTGCGACGAACGACGCCGCCGCCGCTCCCGTTGCTGTTCCAGATACACTCGAAGGCGTAGCCGTATTCAATCCACTCGTCGGACTAAGCGCATCCCCAGGAACATCCGCATCGAAGAACCCACTATGGTTCCCACTCCCAGCGGCATAGCTCGTCGACGGCGCACTCGCACTAGCGCTATACATCGTCGAAACCGAACTCTGGTTATGCAAAGCATGATCCCTATCCTTCGATTCCTTTCCTCCCTTCGAAGAAAAAGCCCACCCCATAACCTCACCAAACGCATCTCCCTTTTTCTCCGGATACGCTTGGGGCAGGACTTGATACGGATTCAAGGGATCGATACCAATAACATGGGGCATATCGGTCGCTGTGACGCTTAGCGAATGCATTCGCCCTCCGCTGCTGCCGCTCTGACTGCTCAGATTCGGATAGTGGTAGGACGATGGAGGAGGACGCTGTCCCGCGTTTCCGCTCAAACTCAAATCAGGATTCGAGCGGGGTTTTTTCAATTTTCTCGCTCCTCCTCCTCCACCTGCAGCAGTGCCACTCGGAGGTATCCCACTCCCCGCCCCAGCGCCCGCAGGACTAGTCTGCGTACCCGAGCCAAGGAGGGCATTAATACTAATTCTCCCCTTCGAATGCCGCTTTGAAGCGCGGGAATAGGATTGAGATTTCGCTTGAGCGTGGTGCGAAGCTCGAGGGGACGTGGTCGGGGAGGTAAATGGAGGCTCGGAGCCGGAACCCGAGGCTAGAGAAGCTACAGATAAACGTAAAAAAAAAAATTAGACATTTCAAACTCAATCCAAAGGCGAAAAAAACCGCTTACAAGCCGGCGATTTTGTACTCCCGACCGGAGACCTTACCAAACTGGTCGATTTGGATTTTGAATTGGACTTTGACCGACGAGAGGACTGGGGGGATTTTGATGAAGGGGGCGCAGTCGTAGGAACGTCATCCACCTTTGCACCTGGCGCGGCCATGTCCCGGTGACTAGTGGCGATAAAGAAGGTTTGGTTTGGTTAGCAAGTGCAACGCGGCAAGTAAGCGAATATAGAATCGGATGAAGAGAAATGAGTCAGGATGAATCAAAACGTATAAAAGCGAATGGTGAGACGGATGGATAGATGGAACGAAGACGGAGAGGAGGACACATAGCGTACGTCAATGACTCCATGATTAATGAGATGCATAAGCAAAGTACGAGAAAAAAATACAAGCGAAAAACAAAGACTGGGAAAAGAACTCACCCAACTCTAAACCGCTGTTGCCCATGCTGTCCAACAAAAGCGACAATCGCGTAGGGCGATCGTGTAGTAACAGTGACACCATACAAGGCATCGTAGCGCTTTTTGAGTTCCCTGGCGCAAGGTCCGGAGGACGTTTCAATGTAAGAAGAGTCCGCTGTAACAAAGATGAATCAATGAAAACGTCGATTGTCAATCAAGTGGACAAGGAAGATGGAAGCGCAGAAAGGAATGTAGTTATACCGAGTAGGAATGAAGATTACGAGTTGAAGACTTACGAGCAATGACGATATCAGCTCCGGCCATGTCTGGCGGCAAGGGACGCCGGAGAATAGAGAAATAGCCCGAGTCAGCATCTCCTTCGTCCTTTGGATCGGGATAAGCAAAGGAAACTGTTTCGCCTCCGGCTGACACTGTAGGGACGGGTATTCGAGGGATTGCGTCGAGTGGCGGAGGGGAAGTTGGAGCAGAGGTAGGGCCTAAGTGGGGAAAGGGTAGTCCAAGCGGCTCTGTGGTCGTCTCAAAGGAGAGACCTGGAGGATGGGTCAAGCCTGGAGGTAAAGATTCTGCTTCATTATCAGAGCTATCTTCATCTGAGTTGGGAATGGCGGTAGATATCGCGACAGAGAGAGAATCGTTATTTGGTGAAGAAGATAAAGAGGATATGGGTGGAAGGGAAGGAGGCGAGGAGGATAGAGGTGAAGGGTTCATAATTTGAAGATGATCGTTGCGCTCGTAAATGGCCAAAAATGAATTCAGAATAACATGGTTCAGCTGCAGCTATTATCAGTAAACAGTACAGCTAAGTAATAGCCAGATAAAAAAGACCTTTTGATACTCTTCTTCTTTTTACCTTGACCTTTTCAGCTTCCCTTTGAAGCCTTGGTAATCGTGTCGAACGACGAGGAAAGCAGTGGAATTGGATGTGTTACTAGGATAAACAAGGGGGATCTGATGAAAATAACCTATTCATTCGTTTCTCAGCTAATTCACGTGACCCATCCCCGACGCGAACCTAAACCACCACCACCAAAAATGTCCATCGTAACCATCAGAGTATGTCCCTCAATCCCCTTTCAGTGAATTCCGACGCGTTAATTAGTTATATAGAACGTCGAATTCCTCAATAACCCCGCAAGATTCACCGACCCATATAGATTTCGCGTCACTTTTGAATGTTTATCCCCGTTACCAGATGGTTAGTCCTTTTATGAGGTTGTATCTTTCTTGCCTCTATATTCTCCATTAGATCTCGAATGGAAGTTAATTTATGTCTCATGTCCCGAAAACGCCGCTCTTGACCAAGAAATCGATTCTTGTCTCGTCGGCCCAGTCCCACCAGGCGTAAACTCATTCGAATTCGAGTCTCCCGCACCAAACCCCAAACTCATCCCTGAACAAGACATACTAGGCGTCGCAGCCCTCATTTTAACAGGATCCTATGCCGATCAAGAGTTTGTCCGTGTAGGCTATTATCAAAATACAGAATACGAAGGTGGGGAGGAGGAAAAGTTGCAGATGGAGGGGAAAAAGGTTATTGTCGAAAGGCTGGTGAGGGACATCACGAAAAAGCCAAGGGTAACGAGGTTCCAGATAAAATGGTACGTCCCAGAGCTCCCCTCTAATCCTGTAAATGTTCATTCCTTGCGCCAGGGATGTATCAGCCCCGCAAGTAACAGGTACCTCGGGCGCTGCCACCTCCGCTGCTGTTCCTTCGGCCGACAGCTATGGCGGAGACGGAGAAGAGGCCAAAGATGACAAGATGGTGATAGATATCAACACCAGCCAGTCCAACGGAGGTAGTATACCCATATTATGATATTACGGCTCTTTAGTATTATTTGTGCTGTGTCCAGTTTAATTTAACACTGTTGTATTTCTACCATCGAGGACTGAGTCACTGAATAAGAGCAACTGCGAAAAATATATGTATGACACAGGAAACCAAAAAGAATTGACGACCTTATTATGGGGGTACCGCGGATCGAACGCGGGACCTTCAGAATGACAAGCTTCAATTATCACTTCAGTCTGCTGCTCTCCCAGCTGAGCTATACCCCCATGTGTTTTATTTCTAATTTTGTTATGCAATGAGCTACCAGATATCATCTAAACATGCTACGGCAGAAAGAAAGGAAAACTTGGTCCTACCACATGAATCGAATGTAGGTGGAGGTAAGTACAAAACACAGCCCTCTTCCAGCTGAGGTAAGTATACTGTAACAAATCGTATGGCAGATGCCACAAGTGACACCACTAGACCTACAACTTGCACAGATTTACTACGTCTACAAGATAATTCATTAAATCCGGGGCCTAACCCTCCCATTCAAAAAGGACCATGGCTAGAGACAATGAGAAGCATATCTACTCGCTTGGTATATATTTTCACAAATTCATAACCATCCGCATTTCTCACTTGCATGTTTGTCCCTGCCCCGATGCCGCGGCCAATGAGCCGCCAATCCTCACTATGATACCTATCCCGATCGATCGATCCATCACTAGTCACACGAATCCAACTTCCTCAAACAAAACCTTTTTGCTAAAAATTAGGCACGATATACACTTAAGTAAATGATCCCCCTCCCACCTCTCTACACGCATCATCAGGAGCAAGGAGAATCATCCAATGCTCTTAGCAAACACGGTATTTTGTTTGCAAAGATAGGCCTTCGTCAAGCTATAAACGAGTGGATTGAGAGACAGCAGAATATATTAGCGCTCGAGTCGTCGAGGTAGAAGGCCAAGCTAGCTCCATCCCCTGACTCTTACTTTTTCACACGCAGCCAAAGCTGGTTATATCATTCAACGATAATCCTAAAAGCCGCTACTATCTGCATAACTCCGCCTATTTGACTAAGAACTCTCAGATAGTTCTAATAATGCTCTTCTGGCGCTTGGCGTATTTCTGACGAGCGATGGTTGGATCTTCATCCTCCTCGTAATCTGAATCACGGTCAGGAAGTCGCAACTCGCTGCTTTTCTTCTGCAGCCCCATTTCCTTTTAACAGCTGCCAGTGGGCTCGATTTTTATCCAACACTTGTGACGGAATGAATGATGGATGAAGCTATTAGTACACGTAAATACTTTGGGCATCAACTGAGAAAGTCCATAAGTCAATCGAAAGATCTGAAAGAGGAAAGAACCGATTTTGTCACTGCATCGCCGAAAAACTCTTCCGAATAACATGTAATTTGAAGATCATGAATATTCATAGTTAAATTTGGAATTAATTATGCGAGGCAAAACTGTATACGCGATCATCTGAGAGCGCGACCCAACCACCATCTACGCTCTCGATCACGTCAGACATGCCAGCTATCATAGTCCTCCATGCAGAAACACAATTCTCGAGCATCATAACCTTACTAGTTCCATAACCTTCGGACATCAAACTCAGAGCTCACTTGGCAGAGAGCGTAAGTTGCTTGGGGCTACTCATTGCCCTAGTATTCTAAGACATAGGTGTGTACCTTGGTATTTCGCGGTCTCCGGAGATACGAGTGTCCTTTCCAAGATTCACTGAGAGACTTCCACTAAAAGGGCCCGAGATCCTCTCACTCTTCAGATTCACGTCTAGGTGACCAGCAAGGGACTGGTTCTTGTTCTGACCAAGATCTCCGAAACTACATATACACGAGAATGGTTCATATGCGTCATTTCTTGTAATTGACAGACCTGTTTTTACTACGCGTCCAAAATAGGAATGAGAGGAAAGCCGTTGATTTCTTTGGACTTGAGAAAGGAAAGAATATTATGATATACTAGCTAGAGATTGCCTATATCTTATTTTCAACGAACAGGGATATACATAACATATACATAGTCCGATATCCCGAATGCCCAGTTTGCCGTAATGACACGCGTCGCGAAGCCACCAAATTGCAAGCCAAAGCGTGATTTTCTCATGATCATGGGTGATAGGCTTTTTTGATTTACCGACAAAAATCCCTCATCCACTCATTCTCTCTTCTTTTTTCTTTACACCGGCGTTTTCGCAAGCTCCGATACCACTATGGATAGATTGTTTACGTTGCTTCAAAGTGCCGGATCGTTGTACTCGTATGCGGGTATGAACGCGATGGCTGGAGTTCGCACCATCACTGTGAAGAATCATTGTGACATCACCGTTTGGTGCGTTGGAGGTTTTACTTGATAGAGATTCTTGTTCTAACGGGTCACGCTAGGCCTGGCGTAAGTCAGGCTTGATTTGCTTAGCTTACTTTTCGAAAACATTTCGTTTTTCTCTAGATATTCACGGCTGGAGATTCGGTACCAGACTATCCCACTGGGTAGGTTCTTCAGCTCGTATCCTTACTGCTATCTTTGACAGTGATTACCTCGCTACCACTACTTCTATCGAAAGTTGGGAAGCTGCCCCAGGAACCTCTGTGAGCTTCACTGTGCCGGATGATTGGACTGCGGGACGTATCTGGGTACGTGCATGGTCGAAATTACGACGCTTCAGCTGCGAAAAATTCGCTAAGAATCCCTCCTGCTAACAGGGACGTACGGACTGCGATTTCAACAGATCCGTCGACGGCTCTACAGCTTGTGTTACGGGATCTTGCATCGGAGGACTAGAATGTGCTGTTTCACGAGGGATGGTGAATAATGGAAGAAGCTGGCCTTTCGGTGTCGAACCCCAAGCCATTCCTCCTGTCACTGTGGCTGAGTGGAATCTCAGTGGAGACGAGAGAGCTGACCGGTATTATGGTATGATGCCCTCCCCATTGACAATTCCGCTCTCGTGAATTCTTACCTCATCTTTCTTAGTCTCCCTAGTCGAAGGGTTCAACCTCCCAATGGAGATTACTAACTCTGCGAGCTGCAGCATTGCTTCCTGTCCTGCGGATTTGAACACTGATTGTAGGCTGACAAAGCTTGAGATCCATGAGTTTCGGTACTTAAGAAGAGTAACAGGTCCCTCCGAACTTGTCCCTCCGACTGCGTCCAGTGAGCTTCTCGTCGGATGCATGAGTGCATATGATGCTGGGCTTCTTGACAATATCTGTACGTTTCAAGACTTTCTTCCTATTAACGACTACTGTCAAAGAGCCTGAAATCTTTTTATCCCGTTTAGCCGACTTCTCTACAGGTTACAATGGATCACGCAATATTGCTGAAAGATATCCAAGCTCAAACGTTCCATACTATGAGTATTTCAGTGAGAACATGCATATCTTGTATCGACTCATCTACGACATTTCTTACAAATATTCTCCTGGCAGAACAAAACTGCCCAGACGCGTATATCTTCGAGCAAGGCGAAGACAGCAATACTGCACTGTTTGCCTGCGATTCATCCCTTAGCGTTGATTACACTCTGACGTTCTGTCCTTAATTTCGAAGCTAGCACGGTGCATATCATTATTTATAAATGGAGGGCCGTCACCTGGCATCAGTCCCCAAAGCTCTCTGACGCTAAACGACATTTCGCTAAGCAAGTCTGGGGCCTTTCCAGCATCTGTCGGCTTTTATCAATACTGATGAGCTGAGAGGGTCCGTGGTCCTGATTGAAGATTGAGCTTGAACACCCCCCTCTCCTCCCCCCTGCCCCCGGTCTTTGAGGTTGTACATAAGGAGATATTCATGGAGAGCGATCTAATTACCCGGATAGAGCAGCAAAACTTGGAAATCCTTCTAATACAAAGACCGAAGCGACTTATATTATTTCTAACAAACCTGATCGATTAATTACAAGCGGTAAGTTACTAAGAGGCAATATGCCATGGGAGAACTTTAGTGTTTGATACGCTGGATCTTAAATTTAAACTGCAAAAACTTTTTCATTATACATACAACTGTACGTCTACGAAGAGACCTCCGGTTTTATCGGCATATTTATTTCCTATATATCTAGTTGAACTGCATGATTCGAACGCATATATTCAGCGAGAGAGCTGAGTACCATCAAAAGCTCAGCTGACCTGAAGACTCGAGGAGCTCTGGCTTTGGTTAGCAGTCTCGTTCTCCAAGTTATCCGTCTCGTTAACAGTCGACCCTCCGGGAAGCACATTACCGCCCAACTTCATCTCACCAGAGCCGGCACCCTTAATTTCGAGAGTAGAATTGTCAGCATGGTAAGTACCATTCGCATTCTCATTCGAGCTGGTTTCATTTAGCTTTGTACCAGAAGAGAACGTGTTTCCATTAATCTGCATCACGTCCGAACCTTTCTCCGGGTTCTGGCTGGAAGATGGAGGAAGTTTGGTAACTCCAATTCTGGGTTTTTCCCCTGAGTGAGTTCCGTTTTTGGTCTCATGGTGAGGATGGGTCCCATTTTTTGGTCCGTGGGGGATATGTGTTCCATTGTGGTGAAGATGAGTTCCATTGTGTGGACCATGGAAGGTCCCGTTGTGGGGGTGTGTGGCATTCATAGGTACATGGTGAACATCTCCGGTGTGAGTAGGAGTGGCAGGGGTAGCCCCAGCGGTAGCAGTGACACTAGCAATTGTGGGGGTACTAGGTCCGGCATGAATATCGACATCCCGAAGGTTGTAGTGACTGGAAATTGATAAATCTCAGCTTGGCAAACCGAAAATGATTGCGAGAACATTCTCACCGAGGCAGCGCCATAGTGTTGGTAGCGCATAAGGCCATGACAGTAAGAGCGATAATGGAGAGCTTGGCCATTTCGATTCAGATGAAAAGTAGACAAAATGTTGTTGAAAAGATATGAGGTGTTTTGAAGAGAAGTACAAGTGACCGGCACCTGAGTAGACCTGCTGACTGAGGAAGCTGAGCCACCAGTACCTCGCTTTTATACTCGTCGAGTCTGGAAATCTGCATAGCGCGGGTACCATTTTGTTGATCGTACAACTGTAGGCAGTATCAGTAACTCCCGAATCCATTTCAATAGAGCGATGAAACGAACAACCATCAACAACCATGCAATGTGCAGCGCACAAAAAGCTCCACGAAGACCGGCCAACTGCCGTCGTATTGCGGTAGTTGTTGCATCCTGTACTGTATATTCAAAAGCTTTCTCCGAGTCTTTTCTACCCGGAAGTTGGAAAATGTCGAACAGATGAAGATTCAAGCTAGCCTACGATCA